ACTATAAAATAAACAAATGTAGAAAAATGGCAACTGCATCTGAGTATGACAATGTCTGTTTCTGTATACATGTAATTGATAATTTCATCATGTGACAATTAAATAATGAGTTCAGATAAGCTCCACAAAAGTTTAGAGAGAATTTGAAAAAGAAATACAAGCTGGCTATCGGCTGGCTTTGCCATTTCATAATGATAGATTAACGGTTGATTTGATAAGTCATTTCTACCTGCTTCACTGCCAGGAACATGATTTTTAAGGTGAACAAGGAAATTTCAGTTCGTTCCCCACCTCTCGTCTGACTGATACTCATGGTCCCACATGTGCAGAAACTGCCACATGTAAGACTCGGCAGATGCAACCTTTTCATATACACTTATTATTATCATTCTCAACAATATTTTCAACTTATTGTTTGTATTATTTACATGTGTTACTGTGTTACTAATTTGACAGATAACTGTGCACAATTTAGATATGTGTCAGTTTTAAAATCTATCTAAATGTTAAGTTAGGATTGGACCGTACTATTTATGTGTATGCACCACTATTTACTTTAAATAATGTTGAATATGTATCCTAACATGTATGATATATTTACTAAATTTGAACAAAGCATTACCAAGATACAACATTACAAGAAAAAAAGAGACTGATTACAAACCACATCAAGGTTACGACTCGGTTAGCCTCGCTCAACTGGCTCATAACCAGTCTTGTGATTGGTTTTTGACAACTTCTGAAAAGGCCACGCCTCCAAATGTGTTGTTCGTTTTGGGCAAACCGTTAATTATTCATAAATGGAGTCAATTTGTGTAGTTTTCTTTATTTATTCTGCAGATATCGGTAAAATGTAGGTAAGGCTTTGGCGAAATTTGAAAAAGCAACTAATATTCTTCAACCTGGTATTTTTTTTTAGATTTTATTTTTCATTTTTTTTGACTGTTTTTTTCAGTTTAAAAAAAGTGAGCTGGCTGGAGCCTTCATCCCTTGTCTATTTCTTACATTAGATACCAGCCGATACCCTCCCCCCGCTCATAGGGAGTGCGTACAGTTTATCATAGTTCCTGGCCTCCCTGTGGTGAAACCCTGGTAACTGCAGTCCTTAGATTAAGGTTACACCCTGTGGGTTACACCACAGTCAGCTGACTGTAAGTATCACGGCCCTACGACAAACACTTGTATTCTTGTGGTTTATGGTTACAGGGAGGTCAGGATCGAAATCAGAACGCACATGAATATATCAACAATAACTTACCTATAATTCTACTTTGATTCGAAATGAAGTAGCCGTCATCGACATCAGATTGATGACGTTCTGATATTTCATCGTTTTCTTCAAGTTCATTGTCAAATTCCCCTTTCTGTATACTTGTGTTATTCTGCGAAAAGTCGTCCATTTTCAACTCAACTTCATTTCGCGGAATTAGTTCCATCTAAACTAATATCGTCCCAACTACATGAGGGATTTATACCAGTAACACACAAAACAGCTGACAATTTCATGTTTTGAATGCCGCCCTCGACGACGGAACTGAATTACAAAGTTAGAGGGCGCAGTTATAGCCGTTCCTTTCAATCGGCTGTTCATTTACCATTCAAAAACTATAATCTCCTCAAAAAATCTGGGTTTTAAAAAGTGTCAAAAAATGTAAATTTCCTTTAACGTTGTGTCCTATTAAATTGTTCTAAAATAGCCATTTTTGACAAATATTAGGGCATTGTCAAGTTTCTCAGAATACGTCACAGTAACACACAAAAAGATGCTATTGTATGATGCCATTGGAAATTAGCATCATTATTTTACATAATTTAATGAACATTGTCATGTGATTTATGATCAACTTTTTTTCAAAAATTATGAGTAGGTTTCTACTTTTATCTACCTAGTCAACAAGCGCAGTGTGCAATGACGTCATTATTGTCTTGGTGACAGTCACGGTTCTCCGATTTTAGTGAATATTTATTGTATATTTATTTATTACTATCTATAACTGCTCTTACGATTGTATATGTATCGTATTTGTTCTATTAAAAGCGCATATAAACAGAAATTACATTTGTAATTGGATTACTTTTTTATCATCGTTGTGAAGAATACTCACGATATACAACGTACGACAAATGATAAACGTCTACCAAACTGATTATTACATATTTTCACCATATGTAATCAAACCAAGTTGTGTGATATGGTGGAAATATTTTACCATAGCAACCAATGTAAACAGACTCGATAATCGATTTGTTATGGGTGCTTGACTTGTGTTTTGTCCGAAACGTAGTTTCATGACCCATGAAGTTTTTAACTCTAATTTGTGAACAGCATAAAATAAAATTATCGTGTAAACGGCAAGAAAATCTGACCATTTCTCATAATGGTAGCGAACAACCGTACACTGTTAAAAATAGATGCTCGAAGATAACTAATAGTTTTGCCTCCATGAGCTACAGTCTGAGATGCCTGAGTGACTCCATCTTCGGTAACAGTGGTCGATAGAGGGCGGACATCATTCTCACCTGGTATTATGATAGTGGTTGACACCGTTACGATGTTAATAAAGTTACCAATTTACTATAGTGTGTTGTTGTAAATCAATCCTGACATTCCATGTACGACCGGCACTATACTACAATATGATGCACAAGCTACAAGTTCGACATAGCAGTACAGGTAAGTTGGACAACTCATTGCTAGATATACATACATATACCGGTTTGTTGGGCTAAACTGAATGCCATCGACACTTTCTTAATTTATTCAACGAACCATGCTGAAATCAATAACAACGTATAATGCTGTTCCAAAGCGAACCATGGGCGTAGCGTGCATAAATAGAACATGAAACGAGGTCGTTCCATTTGTAGGATATGTTAACGCGAGTGTCGAGCCAGCAGACCCGGTGCATATACAGGCGATCTCAGATCTATTATCACGTTGACACCGTGTGCTGGGTACTACTGCAAAAATATCACATAGCGGTGATTTGAACATTGTTTTTACATGACTTTGACCCGAGTAGTGAAACTAACAGCTGTCTGAACTTTACTCTAAATAGATTTATACGGACTTGAAACAAGATGAGACATGTTCGCGAGGAATGTTGTTTATTGGTTTTCTATTGTTATTATTATAGCCTTGTGTTTTCTGTATATACAGGACAAGGCATGCATTTTATTAGTATAAAACACCCATGATATTCTTACAAGAAGAGTTCTGAAGTCAAAATAGAAATCACTGTCGGTAAGCTGTTTACTTTCATATGCTTTCTCGCGAGATTCCGTCAACGGACGTGTTATACATGGAGGGCATGTTGGTGTTCTCCTGAATACTTCACTAATATTTTCCCAATATCAAATTATATATTTGTCCCTCCCTAATCGATAGTCCACCGTAGTCTGGTTGACCACGCCCACTTTCATATACCTTGGTCGAAAGTTGGCCACGTTCACATTTAACGCCTAGGTCAAGTGAGCTGACCTCAATCACACGCTATAAATTGTGATCCTAATGACTTTGTGACTAAAAGACACAACATTCACCATTCATCTTCTTTCTATTTATAATATTGGGAATAGGGAACAAGGCGATATCATATAATACGGAACGTGGTGGTACAAACACAATAGCGATTTGTTTAATAGCATAGTTGTCAAATCTTATCACAAATACACGATCGTGTATCTAGGCTTTGTTGTTTGGACATACTTGCGTTGGTTGGCTTCAAAAATACATTTGGCTCCATTGACCCAATAACGCGATTAATTTTATGATATACATCGTAGAGACTTTCTTGTATGTATGTGTAAGTAGATTACGTTCCCACTTTGTATTATACGTAGAACACCGCAGATTATTCACCGACCACCGTGAGTAATAATAAAATCAGTTTGGCAACAAATCCTAAATTTGGGAACACCGAACTGACTTCTTGACAGTAACAATGTCATGGTATTTAATCACCAAATCAAATACGATTTTATTTTTTATTGGTGTAATTTGCATGTTTTAGGGCATCGTTAAATTCGATTCCGTGATTCTGAAGCATAAGATTTTTTATGAATTGCACCAACCCAAAACATTTTAATACATAATAAGAGACATCGAACGATTTTCTGCAGGTCTCACAAAGTGGAAATACAACTGTGTAACATGTATAACTGTGTAATTAATGACCATGAAGACAAGTTAATGCACAATCCCGGTGTAAACCAGGCCCGGTCGAACACGTATATATTCGTGCGACATCCATTAATGTATATATTGCAATCAGTGGCGTTGACTGTCCATTGTATGTGCACATTTACCCAGAGAAGAGATCTTCTCCTTTTTGGCGTTCAGTCCAAATCTGGGGTAATATTTGAACTATACCGAGGGTCACGGATCTGGTGAAACAACCACCGTTGTTCTTGAGAAGTTTGATACATCGTTGTTCGTACTCACCTGAGTGATGCTTTGTGTTCACATATATCTTGTTTCACTGTTGTGGTAGCGAATGACCTCGAACTAAATTTTAAAAGAAAGTATATGCCTAGCTAATTGTCTCTCTAGTTATTTGATTCGGTGAAAGCATGAATATATCACGTGACTTCGTTCAAATTTTATTTTTATATCGTCTAATATCACATTGACATTCCTTGTCAATTTTATTTTCCAAAATGATTTACGATTTACATGCACCATGCTGTACAAATACATAGAACTGTTGCTTTTTAGTTTGGTCTGGTTCATTCGTTAATAATTTGTTGCACGTACCTGTTATTACACATAAACTGTCGACACAGTTTGGATATTTTACCCACAATGCTTTTAGAAAACAGTAGCCATCCTATTTGTCTAATTTCAGAACATTTCTTGCACGAGTTATCGGTGATTGTTTTAAAGATCACGTGCAAGACAAGGAACACGTGACTGATATGCTATTTTTTGTCTCTCGTAGAATAAAATGGATGATTGGAATCATAGTATTTACAATGGCACGTCACTTACCCTGTACAATATGGGATTACAAACGTTTCCCATAGAACTATGCAACCGTACATCTCTCATCAATATCCGTATGATCGGAAACAGTCTCACAGATCTACCTGTGCAGTTTCGCAATTTCCAGGAAGTCATCTGGTTGGACATTAGCGAGAACGATTTTCAGGAAATACCATCACCAGTTATTGAACTGAGCTGTCTGAGATCAATATGGGCAAAATATAATAGAATTCAATATATTCCTTTCCAGATTTCAAGGTTGCATAATTTAATATCGTTGTTTCTCTACTCCAATGATCTGGAGTACATCCCGAATGGTATCCTGGCATTAAGGCAGTTGGAATACTTGGATTTAGCTTATAACCGGATTACTGACATCCCAGATGGTATCGCTAACCTTACTAATTTAACCGCTTTAGATATGCACGGTAATTTCTTGGAAATCATTCCTGATGCGATATGTGAATTATTCAATCTACAAAAACTCAGCTTTAGGAAGAACGATATTATTTCGCTCCCCGCCAACTTTGGACGAAAACTGTCTAAACTACAACATTTAGATTTGAGTGAAAATAAACTTGTCACTCTGCCGGATTCAATCTGTGATTTGGTATCTTTAGAAAGTCTATACTTAAATAACAATCATTTACAGAGTCTGCCGTTTTTGATGGGATGGCGCAGTCTTCCAAAGTTAACTCTAATCGAAGCCAACTATAACAACTTAGTCGAACTTCCCCAGGGAATATTCATGTTACGAAGGCTGAGGGCGCTGTTTGTAAAACACAACCAGATTGAGATGCTTCCAAAATACGTTGACCGCAAAACCACAGCCCTTCAGAAACTGATTGCAAGCGACAACCAGATATCAGTCATTCCAGTAGCCATCAACGACCTTATCAATTTGAATGAAATACAGTTAGATAAGAATAAAATTACATCGTTACCAAAACAGTTTGGTTGTACTTTGCCGTGGTTGGAGATATTGTGTCTGGAACATAATGAAATTACTTCCATCCCAGAAAGTATCGGTCGCGTTACCAGGCTGTTAACATTTCTTCTAAACAACAACAATATCGGCAGTTTACCGGGAAGCTTCGGAAAACTTCGACGTTTACAAACCTTAGACATTAGCTATAACAAGATTGCAAAGATTCCGATATCATTTAAAGATCTACGAAGTCTAGTCGATTTGAGGATACAAGGAAATAAGTTTGACAGTTTACCCGTCCAGCTGTTAGAAGAACTGATGGCACACAATCTGAAATACTTGGACTTAACAACTGAGTCTGCGCAGACCGATAACTATGTATCGGAGAACCAAGGTGACGACATCATTCTTCCAAACTCATGGCATATTCAGTATTATTTACAAATGACTAAAGTATCCAACATTCTCATGTAAAGGGTTAACCATTACTAATTAAATCGGGAAAGTCGTCACCTGCGCATGCGTCAAATGGCCATAGCGTGTCATTGTGTGTTGTTATCGTCGCTTGGGACCTTGCTTGGGACTGAATTCCTGCGCGTGCGCAGGTGACGACCCTCCTGCTTTAAACGTGATATTACAATCAAATGTGAATCATTTGTCCTCTTTCTTTAGCTAAATCTTCAGTTCTAGGCTGCTGTTGGTGGACACATTTGTTTTACTGCATTAACAATTCTAGTAATCGTCAGATCCTGGACACCATAGTTTTTGGGACAGGAATCCTAGTACTCCATTCACCAATATTTCAAGTTGTCACGTGACATATATTGACCGATTCACATCTTATTATTTGGATGTACTGTATTACGACCAGTGTTACAATATCAATTTATTTGTAATATGTTTATATTTGGTAGCTTTGGAGGACTCCGACGTTATGACTGAAGATGACATGGTTTCAGTCGGCGAAGCAACTGCGTCACAGTGAGATAGCCGAGGCAGAGTCGACCGGGTTTAGTATTACCACAGTACATGTTAATTATTTCATGGGTTGACATGAACGAACAGAGGAAAAGAGTAATACTACGTGAACAATAATGTATTTTGGGGGTGGGGTGGAGAGGGCGGCGTCTAACATTTAAATTTCCTAAATTAACATCTAAGTGTCGGAATATTATTCACGATCCTGATTGCAAGTATGATGACTGTGTATATAGAGGGCGCTGTATCATAATAGTCATCTTCCAGTTATGCAACCGCGATGCGACACGTGACGTATTCGTATAGGTTGTCGGATATTTGTGGGAAATAATTCAACTATAACTATGTACTAATAATACCACGTGACTAATACGTACTACTACGTCATGGATTGAGATCTTATCCGAAAACAAAATGTATAAATGTATAGCGGCATGAATGACTATGAGCAAAGCAGCGCATTGAGGGCGCTATCAGGTGTAACCATAGCATTACGAATACAATCATTACGTGAACCAAAGATTATAACATTTCGATGTATAAATATTTATAATTTTATGATCGTTTCATATTTATATATTGATTTCAGGATGAATATATTACATATTTATTATTCTATGTTATTATAATATATCTGTGTTATTATTTGTTTATAAATAAATATTAATTTGAATTGCATTAAACATAAATAATACAATTCCGGTTCTTTGTATTTATTTCAAGTGATACGATTGGATCTATAGTTGTTATATTGTACCACAGTCCCTGATGGACTGTGATTGTACACATTATGGGTATATTAAATACAAGGAGCATGTGAAGCAGGTAGACAGAGCTACGTCACGATTACAGTCGTTGCTAGGACGAATCATAAACAAGAACAGACAATGATTTTTCAGATTAACAATATTCCATTGTTGAAATTGACGTTCATCACAGACTTCTGTTTTGACGTTGTTGACTACGAATGACAAATGACGTTCTAATAAAATGAATAAATTGTTGCAACTTGTAATATTTCGGAATATGGATGTGTATCTTGCAATAATGTGTGTATACGGCATATAAGCATTGCAATTCCAGAGTTCTAATTGGCCAATTCAAGACAGCCATGGTAGAAATTTCGTTAGTTAGGAATATATATCCCGTCATGAATATGATTATACTAGGCTTTATGTGCTGCTTGTGACGTCAGAGATTCGAATTGAACATGTCCGTTCTTAAAACTCGTGCGCCCTCACAGTTTCCTATAGGAGAAGAACTCAGAAAGAGGCTTATGGGTGAAGAACTTTTTCGGGGGAAGTCATAGAAAACCATTCTCAGTTCCTTTCTCACAGAAACCTGTACGAATGCCGTACTTATAAAAAAAAAAGGCCTATTTAACATGTGTTCACTACATCAAACGTTATTTCAGTTGAACCTGTCTTTTTGAGTCAGTGGCTTGATTACGTAACGGGAAGAGCGTCTGCATACAATGGCGATGCGAATTTGCCAAGTTGCGAGTTCAAATCTCGTATTCCATGTTTCTATGTTCGTATACGTGCGTGTAATTTCGATAGTGGACAACAAAAAGACTTTTGCCTAAAGCTTTTAAATTAGAAATACAAGTCTAGTATATCATCTTTTGTAAAAATGTATTTTCAAAATAATGAGGTTTGCATTCATGGATTTCAATGTGATCCAGTGATATAAATGTAGTATGAAACCTACACATATAAGTACTAGGCCGGAACATGACAGGCTATCGGTACGGTTGTATCGGCTTCAATTTTAAATTCCTCTGAAAAGTACGTCGCTTTTTACAGCGATCCCACCCACCGGTCACATTTTGAGGTCAATCGTGTAAGTACTGTAGCTGTCAGTCAGTCCTGGAAATCATTATAATTAATTGTTGTAATTTAACAAAAATCCAATGCTTGCAAAAACAATCTCCTCGTTCGCTTTTTCCTAAAACATCTAGATCTCATTGTAGTCAACTTTGACCTAGTAGTATAGTGACTTGTATTGGTACTACAATGATAACTGTCTCAATTTGAACACCTACGGTAATTCTTACACTCTGCTACAAGTCTAACCAGGTTATTCCCGTGCACCGCACAGGGGATCAGTTGCTGAAATATCGCCACCAACGGTCTATCAAAAAAAAGCAGTGAAAAGTTTAGTAAAACTGGTTGACATACAGTAAGTTGTCGCACTGAATGATGGTCTACATGGGTCCCATACGATGTATAAAGCGCAAGGAAAATAAATTGTTTTTTTTCACCGAAATTCGAACAGGTTAAGTGAAACCACAGGGATCCCAGGAACTATAATCAACTTTACGCACTCCCTATGAGACAACAAAAACAATGGAGAATTAATAATTAATATTTTAAACAATAAGGATGAAAACATTATAAATGATTTGTTTATATACGATATTATTTAATTAAAAGTGAAATAATTAAACCAGCTGCTTTAGACAATACAAATCACCATTTTTTGTCTAGAAATTTGAGCGTTTTGTTTTGATTTTCCCCGTGTAGTTAGTGTTCGTTATTTTTCATATCTTTAGAATTTATTGTTTTTATTGTAAAACCCTCAAATACGGGGTATGATAGCAATACAGGTTCAATTCTATTCTATTTGATTCTATTCTATTCTATTCTATTCTATTCTATTCTATTCTATTCTATCCGCCAGCGGAGCTCGGTAACAATGCATTCTGGATTTTTGACCTCTGTGACTCAGATTTAAATCGTGATATGTATTTACACAAATCAGAATCAATGTATACGCCTGTACCAACGTGTTACTATGGCAATACGTTCCACATGGCGAGGTGTAGACGTGAACAAAATAAAATCCCATGATCCATTGCACGACTAAATTTATAACATTGAATGTAGACTCGAATAAAATGGTAACAACGACGTTATTATATGTAGATGCTATAGAATTCCTCTCAGTTTATTCCGATATGAAGCAAAGTAAGTCGTCATCGCGTGGGACCCACATCGAACCATGTATATCACGTGACGGAATCGTCACTAACTAATTTAATGAGTGTTATAAATTTATAAGTTATAAGATCACGTGATTTTCTTAGAAGCGTAAGGCAAGATACTAGCTTCGTTTTCGTGCCATTGTGCCATACAGTTGATATCGTATTGGGAAAGTTGAATAAATCCAATGTAAGAACCAATCAATGGGGAATTGACTTGATGGAAAGTCTTCGTACTTGCATACCAGTTCGATTAAAACGGAAACTACATTACGTTTGCGAGTCTACTGTAGTAAACAGTAATACAATGTACGGGTGGACAGGTAGGCTGACGTTTGACCTCGATCTCTCCCCTGTGGGCGATGCAAATTACTCGAGACCTGCCACGATTGACATAGATAAGGAGACTGCTTCGGATCGGTGTCATGACATCCCACCATCTCCATTCAGGCCGTATAAAAAGTACACAAACGAGTTTGGTACCGGCAACGATCACTGAAAAAAAACAAAAACATGTAAAGTCTGTCCGTTACCATGGATACGTGAATTATTTACTGTCACGTTTCCCCCAAAAAGTCAGAATATTTATTGACTTTATAACGGAATGAGTACAATAGAACTGAGTGTAACGTAAAGTTTATGATATTGACTTAGTTGGGAGAACGGTCAACTTTAAATGCTTGTCTTTTCCCAATTCTTTGTATACTTTGATTTGATTCAAACTATAGAATCTGGCGACTCCCGCTCACCATTCTTTGTCAGTGTGTTCTTTTCTCGTTTCTATTTTCAATTAACAACAATCGTTTGTGTGATTGCAATATGAATAGTGATTGCCCAGTCTAGGTCACGCGGTGGTTGATGAGTGTTGACAACGCATACTGTGGTGTGCGTACACACACAACGCCACATTACTATGGGATTCAGCAGCAGGTTTGTCAACTGTGCTTTAATAACAGGTGAGTTACTGATGCATTGTAGTTATTGTACATTTTAGTACAATTATACAAGGGTATTGTCAGATAATGAACGAAACCCTCGACTAAATTCCAAATATATTACCGTTATACTGTGAGTCGTCTCTGTGAGTACCTCTTGGCGCCATCACTGTGAATTTGGTTCATGAAGAATCAACATCAATGTCAGATGACATCGTGGATCATATACAAATTGGTAAAACAAAATAAACCCACCGTGATGATTACTAAAAAGGATTTAGTAACCGTACATGAGTGAACTATCGATAATAAAATGAAATAGCGCCCTGGTTGTAAGACACACAAGTTTGGCATTTTAAACTGTTTGCATTGTGGGTGGGAGTACACAGTGACTCTGACGCTGACAAAAATGTGCACCAATGTAGGGACCATTCTCATACAGAAGGAAATCTGTTAAATGACCAAACTACATTACACGTATATAAATTGATATTGAGTTTGAACAGTCATTAAAGTTAAACAGAATAAGATCCATCGTATGATGGTAACTCGAAAGGTCACTTAGAACAGTGCTAACA